TATTCTAGAAGAGTAGGGTGTAGTCCAGAAGGGTAGGGTGTAGTCTAGAAGAGTAGGGTGTAGTCTAGAAGGGTAGGGTGTAGCCTAGAAGAGTAGGGTCTAGCCTAGAAGAGTAGGGTGTAGCCTAGAAGGGTAGGGTGTAGTCTAGAAGAGTAGGGTGATAGTTCAACTAGCTTTCTACTACATATTAAACTTTAGAGGAATCACGAGAGCTGCCGTAGTGTGCTGATTCTTGTGTACAAGTTGCACTGTTTCATTGACACCAAAACCGGTTATCTCATTCTAAACTAAGTGTGAAAACCTGACGTTATGATTGGTTAATAAATGTCAAGGACGGGTAACTCGACCGGAACTGCTGTAGTCTCGTCAAGTACAATTCAGTGAAAGGCCGGAAAATTAAAAGTTCATCGTGTATTGTATAATTATTCTATTATGTCAGAGGCTAAAAAGCAGGCGATGTCTTCCTTGGACCAATTAAAGGCAATAACGACTGTAGTCGCCGATACTGGTGACTTCGAAGGTTTGTTTTGCTCAAATTTTTACTCCAAATTTTAGTAGCGTCATTTTGGTGAAGTGTGTTGTAGTCCGTAAAACTCTGACTATAGTCCGACGTACTCTGACACTATTATTTATTGTCAATTTTTGCTGACTCAGCATGGGAAAGATCAAAACAAACTTGGTTATTGTTATCCTTTTAGTTTTTTCTACTCAAATATTCCTCATATGAATGACATGACATTATTTTGTCAAAAAAAAAACATGGCTTTATATTCCATATGCCTACACTACTACAGACTTATCAAATGTAAGTAAGTTTCGGAACTATATGTATGCATGTACACCACGCTTAATCCCTTCTTTCGCCTCGAGATAAAAACATTGATTTAACATGGCAGTCTATGGCCACGACGGAAAATGATATAATATAAAGGGTTTCTACATCTACAGATATCCATTTATCATTTAGAACGTTGTCTAAAGAATGTTTTGTCTGTTGTATATCACCAGTCTGACGATTGTAAATGTAGTAAACCCTTTGTATAAGAACCTTTTCCATAGACTGCCATGTTGAATTGATGTTGTTTATCCTTAGGTGGAAGTAGGAAAAGTAGCCTAAAGTTCCGAACTGGCTCATTTAGGCATTGAGTCACATCAGGATCTTGTTTCTAGGCATTGAGTCACATCAGGATCTTGTTTCTAGGCATTGAGTCACATCAGGATCTTGTTTCTAGGCATTGAGTCACATCAGGATCTTGTTTCTAGGCATTGAGTCAGTCACATCAGGATCTTGTTTCTAGGCATTGAGTCACATCAGGATCTTGTTTCTAGGCATTGAGTCAGTCACATCAGGATCTTGTTTCTAGGCATTGAGTCACATCAGGATCTTGTTTCTAGGCATTGAGTCACATCAGGATCTTGTTTCTAGGCATTGAGTCACATCAGGATCTTGTTTCTAGGCATTGAGTCAGTCACATCAGGATCTTGTTTCTAGGCATTGAGTCACATCAGGATCTTGTTTCTAGGCATTGAGTCACATCAGGATCTTGTTTCTAGGCATTGAGTCACATCAGAATCTTGTTTCTAGGCATTGAGTCACATCAGGATCTTGTTTCTCCCAAAGTTAGCTGCATTGGTAGCAAAATCACCTGAGTAAATTTAAAGTAAAGCATTCAGTCTTGAAAGAATGTAAATAGTCTACCAGTCATCGAATTGAAACCCCTTATTATTGGATGGACTCTCCTTCACGACATGTGCTTTTCCTATCAATATGATACAGTGTTAAAGAAGTTCAGGAGAGTACATTTTCTAAATCAGGGTTGTCTTTGTTGTCAGTAAAATAAAAAAATCAGTACAAGCAAGACAATTCTATTAATCAAAATCTCATCAAAGTTGTATATTAGTGGACTCCTCCAAAGAGAAGTTATCATCAGGTGTTTCGAAAAGAGTAAGCATGGTCTGCTGCTACAAGCGACACCAACCACAGTTACTATAAGGTCACAATCATCAGATACAATCAGATCAATTTATACCTGACCAAACAAATCAGAAATCAAATTGTTTTCTGCTCTCTCTTGATCTGGTAATTTGTTTTTTCAGCCATGGCGAAGTTTAAACCAACAGATGCTACGACTAACCCTTCGTTGATTCTGGCTGCAGCTGGTATGAAATCATATCAGAAACTGATTGATGAAGCTGTCTCATACGGAAAGGAAAAAGGAAGGTAAGCTATGCCTTGACCTTTTTGATACCATTTTAACCAAATGTTGGGATTGTTATTGATAGGTGTTGTGCAGGCACACAGGCATCTGTTTCTATCAATGGCACCATATATCAACGTATCCTGATACTACATACAATGATACACGTATCGTATATGGAATTCATCTAAAACACATTTATTCAGGCTCATATCGAGCGCCATATTATAATAACATAAGAATACGCATGCTCAAGTTGGTATGTCCAGGTATCAGAAAGCGAATGAATGTCAATATTTTATCATCATATTACCAAGACTTGTATCGATACTTGATAATACTCCCATAGTCTCAATCCATAAAAAGTGTCAAGTTGACTCTAACTCTTGATTGTGTTATTAATTTGGGTATTTGTTTTAAAAGTTTTTTGGAGTTGATAATAATTACCACAGTGAGATTTTAATTCTTCTGTTGATTGTATGTTGTTAACCTAAAGATTCAGGTTTGATCTAATTCTTAGTTTTCTGTTAATTATAAACAGTCCTCTGTTTAATACGTAGTCTTCAACATATCAGACTATTTCAGTTTCCTCTCTTTGTAAAACCACCTCATACCAAGCTATTTAGATAAAGTGAATCAATGTCCCATTTATTTATTGATAAGTCCAAATGACAATGATTTAAAACAATAATTTTTTCCAGTGACGTCGAAGCCCAGTTGAGTCACGCCATGGATAAAGTTTGTATTAATTTTGGAATGGAAATATTAAAGATTATCCCTGGAAGAGTTTCTACTGAGGTTGATGCCAGGTGAGAATTGATGCTGTTATTTTTGGGGAGCTAGTTGGGGTTCAGCTCTATTCTAGGGCTGGGCAATATTGGTTCAAGTTGATATCACCGTATTTATCATCAATATATCATGATATGGGTATATATATAGTGATATTTATTGAGTATAGTTTTAATGGTTTTTGATACAAAATATTGTTTTTCTATCTAGAAATTATAAATGTAAGGAAAAACAATAAATATCGCTTAAAAACATCTTGAAACATCTGTTTCAAACATCTAGTTATTGGTTAGAATTGTGTAGATGATCAAATCTGGACTAAAATATGACAATATGACATACCGGTTACTACCATTTATAATGGTATTTCAGAACTTTTTAATCAAACGATATATATTACTATACAGGTGTATATTTTGAGAACGATATATTGATATATCGACCAGCTCAACCCTTCCCTTAAAAAATTAACACAAAAACTTGTTAAATATGTGGAATTTGATATTTGTTTATGATGTGTTTCATACAAACTGTTATTTAACTGTATAGCTGTTATTTAACTGTATAGCTATGTTAGTTAACTGTATAGCTATGTTATTTAACTGTATAGCTATGTTATTTAACTGTATAGCTGTTATTTAACTGTATAGCCGTGTTATTTAACTGTATAGCCATGTTATTTAACTGTATAGCTATGTTAGTTAACTGTATAGCTATGTTATTTAACTGTATAGCTGTTATTTAACTGTATAGCTATGTTATTTAACTGTATAGCTATGTTATTTAACTGTATAGCCATGTTATTTAACTGTATAGCTATGTTATTTAACTGTATAGCTATGTTATTTAACTGTATAACTGTATAACTATGTTATTTAACTGTATAGCTATGTTATTTAACTGTATAGCTGTTATTTAACTGTATAGCTATGTTATTTAACTGTATAGCTGTTATTTAACTGTATAGCTATGTTATTTAACTGTATAGCTATGTTATTTAACTGTATAGCTATGTTATTTAACTGTATAGCTATGTTATTTAACTGTATAGCTATGTTATTTAACTGTATAACTATGTTATTTAACTGTATAGCTATGTTATTTAACTGTATAACTGTATAGCTATGTTATTTAACTGTATAGCTATGTTATTTAACTGTATAGCTATGTTATTTAACTGTATAGCTATGTTATTTAACTGTATAGCTATGTTATTTAACTGTATAGCTGTTATTTAACTGTATAGCTATGTTATTTAACTGTATAGCTATGTTATTTAACTGTATAGCTGTTATTTAACTGTATAGCTATGTTATTTAACTGTATAGCTATGTTATTTTATGGGTTTATTTTAATCCACTGGATCCTGTTCTTTGTAGAATATTACGATTAGAATTTCTCACATGTATGGAACATTACATTTTTATCAGTTTTGTGATATATATTCAGTTTTTTTCTGTAATATTCAGACTGTCGTTCGACACAAAGGCAATGGTGGAGAAAGCTAAACAGTTGATTAGTTTATATAAAGAGAATAACGTCAGTAAAGAGAGAATTCTAATTAAACTATCATCAACCTGGGAGGGAATACAGGCTGCTAAGTAAGTAACAGTGGCTACAGGCTATTCTTTCATTATGTAAAATGATAAACATTTTGAAAATGGGGGCCTAACCACAGCCAGTCTCTTTTCTGGAGGGGCAAGCCCCCCATATCCCCCTTGTAGAAACCCCACTGGTAAGTAAATATTGTTTTACACCAATCTTTCAGTAGGGTACAGTTTACATCCAGAAAATCTTACTGTATAATGGTCTGTTTATAAGGTCATTATCTTCTTGACCACCATTATTCTTCTGAGTTTTCACGTTCAATAGAGAATATGAGTTATATATGAATTCTCATTGTTTTGTTTTGTCTGGAACATCAGAACCCGTTTTCCAGTCGCATAATTTGATTGGCCTATTATTAATTCAGAGATCAAAGTTATTCTGTAGAGGTTGTAAAATTAGATTCATTTCAACCAAAATTCTGGAAAATGGATCTTTAAACATGGTATATTTTACTTATTCTCCTAAATGTAACAAACTTGAATTGAAAAATAGTGATGGCAATTCTGGCCTCTGTTTTTCAGACCACATTTTAACATGAGAAAATTTGTATTTAATGTACTGTAACATTGTTTTTGTTAACAAGATTTAGTGATTAGAAACTGAAAGTAAAATTAGTATAAAGATCCTCTAGCTCCACATAGATACTGGATGTAGATATAAGATACGAAACGATGGCTCAGTTGATGAATAGCAGTAGGTGGATTAAACCTTTAGTTAGTTTTTACCACTTTTGTCCAGTCAAGGGGTTTTCAACAGGACGGTTTTAACCAGGCATTTCTGGACAAAACTTGCCAACTCTAGTTACCTTTGTCAGCTATCTGTCTAAGATATTTTTATCATTTTATTCTAACAATGTTTTGTTGATTTTTTGTAGAATTTTAGAATCAGAATGTGGAATCCATTGTAACATGACTCTGATCTTTAATTTTCACCAGGTGAGTGGATCTCCTTTCGTTTTTCTTTTTGGTTATGGACATGAAGGATAGCATAGTTTTTCAGTCACCAGAACCTCGGCTTACCAACCAGCACTGACGTGAAATTAGAATAAGGCTTCACAGCCATGTATAAAAGTTGTGTAAAATTATAATGATACAATATATTCTAGATTTTAACTTGTGAATGTTCATTTACTATTACTCATGATATAAATTTTTCATCCGTTTCCAAATAAACTACTATATTTCATTGATTAATTTTATATTTTCATCCATTCAGACTAGGAGCTATCTTTAATTTTGTTAATTAATTTGTTAAAATACAGGTATATAGTAAACTAGAAATGTTTTAACTTAGAGTGATCTTCCTTAGCTAGAGAGATTATTTCAATGATGTTTCTATATTTCTAGGCTATAGCATGCGGGGATGTAAAAGCTACGTTAATTTCACCGTTTGTTGGAAGAATATTTGATTGGTTCGTTAAGAATACAGATAAAAAATCTTACGAACCTCTTGAAGATCCAGGTAATATTATAATCCTTAAGCGACATTTAGGACATTTATGGATAGAGATCACATTAAATAACAGAACACAATTTTATGGTATATTACTTACTTAGTTTTATTGTAAACAACATTTCAACAATCTACATTGTCATTCTTGTACAATATTTCCTCACTTCACCTGAAGATGAACTTTAGTAAGGACATAGGCTTGAATAGGTCACTTGTCTGATGATTGCATAGCCTGAATCTCTGAGTAACTACAGTAGGGATGCAGGCTGAGAATAAGTCAGTTGTCTGAAGATCTCTGAGTAACTACAGTAGGGATGCAGGATGAGAATAAGTCAGTTGTCTGAAGATCTCTGAGTTACAACATGTTTTTGAAATTTCTGTTTTAATATTGTATATTATAGGAGTACAGAGTGTAACTAAAATTTATAACTATTATAAAAAATACGGATATAAGACAGTGGTGATGGGGGCATCGTTTAGAAATACAGGACAGATTATAGGTCTAGCTGGATGTGATCTACTAACTATATCGTAAGTTAAACCTTAACCTTGTAAGATATTTAGATATATCACAATATGTTAATAACCAACAGTTTTATAGATATAGACTTCTATTTATTATTTAAACACAATGTTTCATTACACATACAGGTAACTTTTTGATAATCCAGGAAACATCAATGTCCAGATGGTTGCCAAGGAACAACTGGTAGACTGTATTTTCTAAAACTCAGTTGTCTGTGAACCTTAGTTGTTATCCTTGTAATATCAATGTCAAGAGGTTTGGCCAAGGACCAGTTGGTAGAAAGGATCCTTGTAAAATCATTACCAAGAGGTTTGGCCAAGGACCAGTTGGTAGAAAGGATCCTTGTAAAATCATTACCAAGAGGTTTGGCCAAGGACCAGCTGGTAGAAAAGATCCTCATGAACCTATTGTTATCCTTGTAAAAATTGGTTCTTTCATATCATATTTTCTGATGTTTATATATTATAGACCTAAATTATTGGATGAATTATCGAAATCTAATGATGAGTTACAGACACAACTCAGTGTAGAGTCAGGTAGGTCATGTGATTTACCTCTGTTATTATGTTTGGTGGAGAGTAGAATAATAGCGTGGCCTCTACAATATGATATGTGAATAACCAGTGGCTCTAACAAGACAGGGCTCATTTCATCATATCCTGAATACAGGTTTTGACATGGTCTTATTAAACTAAGCTCACTTCACTTCGTTTTTTGGGGGCGTAGAAATGTGATTGGTGTTATTTCAATCTGACCAATTAAATTGGTAGAATGGAAATGAGGTTGGTAAAACAAAACAACTTAGCATCTATATTGTCTAAATTATCTAGAAATATTCATCCATAATAATTATCTTATTAATCTATAACTTGTCTTTCTAATATGTCATTAAAAAGATTACTCAAATTTTGTTAGTAGAAACATAAAAAAATATAGACTGGTTAAAATGGATGCCGAGTTGATAAACCCAATAAAAGTTTCCTTCTATGAATTTGTCATATTTGAAATTTGAAAAAAGAAATATTAACATCATGTTTGAATTGTTTAATATTATTTTTCAGCCAAGTCTCAAAAGATAGAAAAAGTGACTGTAGATGAAAATGTATTCAGATGGGAATTGAATGAAGATGCCATGGCAACAGAGAAATTAGCAGAAGGCATCAGGAAATTTGGAGTTGATGCCGTCAAATTGGAAAATCTTCTTCGTGAACGATTATTGAAATAATTAACAGTATTTAATATTACGGAAATTATGTTTTTAACTTTTGATAAAATATTTTCTGAATTATTTGAGTTCTTCCGTGAACAATTAAAATATTGTATGATGCAGACTTGAGACAAAATTATTAATTTCTGAATTTTCTACAGATTTGAAATAAATATAATTTAGCATTATGTAAAATGTAAAATTCATTGGGATATTGGAATAATTAAGACAATTATTATGTTAATTTACTATAGAAATATTATAATTTATGCAAATTTTATGTTAATTTAAAGGCATTTATTTATTTTGGAAGTGAGGTATTAATAATCATAGAAATTGGCTTTGTGAAAAATAATCAAAGTATTTACTTAAGTTTAATATAATTATTATAAATATGTCTGTTAATTTAAAAGAATTTATTGCTCTGTTTGAGTTGAAGTTTATTGGAGAAAGTAAATTGTTGGGTTTAGAATGTTCAAATACTGACAGATAAATAGAAGCATTTATATGAGTTGTATGATATGATTTTATTTTAGGGAAATTGTTTATGTTAAAATACTGTTGAAAAAAAGAAATAATGGAAGCATTTATTTAAAGTTAATTGTGTTATTATTTCTGAGAATTTAATTGTTGTCTCAATTTGGTTATAATTTATCTGTTGCCTGTTGTTCTATTTCTTAACGGGATTGAGGTTTTCTAAATTTTTCATGTGTTTATCTTAGATATTGATAACATCAATTTGTACCATAGGACATCAACTTTTATTATTGAATGTAGTCCGACGAAATCTCCCTCATTGCACACTGCATGGTGTTGTCTGTCTTCAATAACTCAATCTGGTGAAGAGTTATCAGCCGAAAATCTAACAGAAATCAATCAGGTGGAGAAAATTGGAAGTAAACCTCCATTTTTTTACTGTAAATGAAGCTGACTTTTGTGAGTAAGGAAAGACAGAAAATAAGTGATGGTTAACTACGCCATTGTTTCTAACGAAGACTGTAATAATATAATAATTAAACTACAGAAGATAATAATTTTATATTAATTTATTCAAGATAACAAAAGTATAAATTTTTCACAATAATAATAATATTTTGATCACCTTGGTTACGTACATGGAAACAAGATCAAGGAGTGGAGAAGGAGGGAGAAGATTCTGAAACTATTTAAGTGTATCTCGGTTACATATAGCAGCAATTTGCACCATTCCATATTAATATAGAAAGAGAATAGTTCGTGTTGACAGACATATCAAACTACGTACAGTTGTTACATAGAAATAATACACATACGAACATAGATCACAGCCATTTTGAATCTCTTCCTCGGCTTCAAGTTGAATCTGAAAAGACTATAATATTTCCCTAAAACCTTCAAATTACAATATGAATTGAAAGCTTAGTTGAAATAACCTATATCAAAATTTGATTTATTAAGTCGAGGGGAGAGATTCAAAATGGTTGTGAACTACATTTGTGTGTATTATTTCAATGTAAGAACCATACATGTTTGATATGATTGAAGGCATGAGATTCAGAAGACTGAAATGTGAAATGGTACATTGTGGTGTTTGGGCATTTCACAGTGGCATTAACTTTTCAAAAAAACTCAAAGAAATTTTATACGATCAACCAAGCTGACCATAAAGAGTTTGATTTTGATGTATCATGACATCTGCTAATTTTGGTTAAAAAGCATTAATTTTCAAATTACCGCTCTTCATATTTTGTTTGTTATTTTTCTATGGGTTACTTTATTCATCTAGTTTAAATAATCCACAGAAACTGTAGAAAACGAAATATGAAGTATTATATTATGATCTGAATAGTAAAATAGAAATATATTATTTTATTTACAAGTTTATTAGTAACTAGTAAACTTGTATTAATATTTACTAATAAAAACTTCTATATTCATCTTAGTTAAAAATCTTAAAGAATCGAGTTTTATTGATTTACACCATTCCAATTTACAGTCATGTTTGTGGTTCTTGCAATTCCATCAATTTTTTATAATATCACAAAGGCTCTCGAATATTCGTAGATGATTTTGCAACAGTGACTTCATAAAACACCTAGTTAAATCTAACAAATAATATCTACAGCTTCGATACATCTTCACAATGTCAAGTTGCAATAGTCACCTTTCTTGTATCAGCCATTTGATTGGGTTGTACACCAGAGAATATAGCCAATCAGTGCCCACGATAGAAAGACTGTAAACATTCAGACATTCTATCGAGAGCTCTGATTGGCTGTCTTCAATAGCATATAATTCAATCAAATCGATGCATATAAAAACTTCTGTGATACAGAAAGATGGTTATTACAGTCAAGGTATTAGATGCAGTAAGAACTTGAAAATGAATATTTGGTTAGTAATAGAAGTCTTCTGAGCATTAGTCAATCTAATTAACAATATCTACAGCCAGTGACAGGGTGCCAGCCTCTTGAGACTGGGGGTACAAATATAGGGCAGACTGACTCCATGGGGGAACAACTGTTGAGGTTGAGACGTGGCAGAGCATAGCCGCAAACCTCTCAGAGAGTGTTCAAGAAAATTTAGACATAAAAAATTATAAGTGGTGGTCGGAACTATTTATCTTGGGGAAGAAATTCATCCTCAATACCTTGACTGATGTCATCACTGTCTGTAGCTAAGATAAAATGGTCAACAATTTTACAAGGATCCTGTGAAACCAGGGTCTATAATCCTAAACAGTCCAGGGTCAGAACAGAAACATATATAACAACTAGATTATCATCCCCACCCAAACAAATTAATAATAATATACAAATCACATGGAAGATAGTTTGTACAAATTTCTCTCTATTAGTTTTTACAGATTTATCATCAGCTAACTTGCCACTGAAATAGATAATAACATTTGATTTCATTCACACACAGAGCATACCAGACAGGTCAAAATATCAACAGAACAGTCTGTAAATGTAAATTACAGAAAATACAGAAACCACTCAAATTTCTCTGAGGATTACCTTTACAAAGACAGCTTGCCAGGCAAGGGAATATACGCCTATTTGCAGCTTTGATTTTAAAAAGAAATATTAGGCAGTACCAGTACAGTAACAATCACCAGTATGAAAAATTCAACCTTCAGTCATACACTTCTTTTGAACTTTTTGAGGCGATATTAAATAACATTACCAAGTTTTGTCTGGCAAGAAGTGTGCCGTCTAGAGTGTTAAAAAAAAGGACATGTTTTCAAGAACAAGGGCAATAACTCATACTAAATATTTTTCGATTCTTCTGATTTTCAATAGCGTTCATCCTTGATTAATAACAAACACGCATGTCAAGTTTCGTCAAAATCAATCAAGATTTGTGCCTTCTAGAGTGTTTACAAGCAATTACATACACTGATTCAATTGTTATTTTGTCTAATTACAGACAAAAAAAAGGATAGGTTGGCAAAGTACTGGCCCCTGGGGGTCTGGGGGTGAATTTAAATTGAAAAAGATAAATAATAACTGAACCTTTAAACCCTCTCCTTGACCCGTCATTCCGCGAGATTCAGCCTCTTTCTCAATCTTTTCTCGTTCTTGTTGTTTTCTTTTCAAAGCTTCAGGGTCTTTAACTCCACGACTTTCCTCTGTTTTTTGTCTCTGTTCTGCTGCCACTGCGGCTTGCCTTCTTCTTTCTTCCTGAAAACATGATTAATTTACCCATGACAGTAGTCTCATCAACATATTTTAATCTACACAATAGGTAGACCTAAACATCTTGTATCTGGTCTAGTTTGGAATACCAGTCAACTTTACCGCTAATCTCATGTACCGCTAATCTCATTTACCAATCATAATATTAAACTTTTTTCGATAGTTAATTGCATTTTTACTAAGTTTTTTGATTTATCAGATTATATAAGGATCCTGTTATGTTATTTATGACACCAGGTATATCTACTGATGAATATATGATCTTATTGGTCAAGTTTAAAATTTTAAAATTTTATGTTTATTCTAAGACATAGTATCACTTTAACAACAACAACAAGTTGAATCCCTGCATCAGTACAATACAAGTTTTTATTCAATGTCAGTTTTTGACAAGGAATAACATTGTCATTAGCCCCAGGCTATTTTCACTGACTTCAGTCATCAGTCATCAACATTTCTACTCTCTGTATACATTGAGCTTTGAATTGAATTTTTCTCTCATTTCATAAATATTCAAAATAAAGTTTTAAACTTTATGCCATTTGTCTAAGAATGTCTTCAGGTCCATAGAAATGTAAGGTTCATTAATTTTACATTTAAAAAAGACAAACTTCCCTTAAAAATGACCTATTTTTCGCACTGAAAATTCCCTTCTGTAAAATCATGTTTACAAATTATAACTTTTCCAGTGGTTGACATTTTCATCAACCTAAAGGCAATCCAAGACTCTCAGTAGTATTAAATACTGTATTTTGTAATTGATATTTCAATACATATGGAGAAAAAAAAATTCGGTCAGAGAACAGTGAAAATGAAACAAAAATTGAAATAAAACCATACCGGATCAGGCTGCTCATAATCATCGGCCGAACCATTTAAACATGGCAGACACAATCCCATCTTCCTAGATTCACTCCTCGTCAAGTTTAATTCTATCAAAAAGCCAACAGTTGTTAGAATCTCTACTTTTATTTTTATTTTCTTCAACTGAAAGGTCAAGGACGTTTAATTGGTGTCGTACAAATTTTCGGGGAAGTATTATAATTTATTTCAACTCTTTTATTTTTCATTTTAAAACTTACCGTCTTTGTCAAAATAAAATTCCAAATACATAAAGATTTAAATTTTTCTTTTCAGTTTGAATTATTGTCAGAAATAAATACTTCGTTTTCTAATATTCAGTAATGTATTAATTTTACAATCTATACGTAACCGAGAATTAATTTGTTATGACGAAAAAATTGATCTTGTGATTTTTCTTTATTTTTGACACCCAGACGTCAAATTTCACAATTTAAACCATGACTGTTTGAAAAAGAAAAGTTCTTTTGGTGAAAGTGAGAAAGAAAAGGGGACGTAGATGTAGATCCAAGAAGCTGGGGCCAAGTTAAAAGTAAAGTACCGAGGCCCGACATTTGTCATTTGACAAGTCTGTTGGTTGTTAGGACTTACGAAAAAAAAATATAGGAGTGGCTTGTTCAGATAAACAAGATTAGATGATGTCCTTTGAACTTGACGTCTGTTCAAAATGGTGGTCAGTTGGATAGATATAGATGAGTGGAAGGGGTAATTCTTATTCTGTGCCTGTGGTACCGGTTACCACGGATCCCATACCAGTCAGGATTGAGTCACTCAAAAACAAATCTAACATGACGAAAACTGTACGAAAATACGAAGTGTTTCCAGGGAAAAATAAGTTTTATTGTAATGGACGTATCATGATGGCGAAACAGAGCGGCATTTTTTACTTGACCTGTTCCTTGATTGTTGTTACAACTGGATTATTTTTTGGTTTCGATTGTGTTTATTTGGCTGTTCACGTGACGCCTGCGATTCCAGCAATCGGAGCCGTTCTTTTTATCTTTGTCATGAGCACATTATTCCGAACGAGTTTTAGTGATCCTGGAGTGATTCCGAGGTCAACTCCGGACGAAGCTGCTGAGATTGAAAAACAGGTTGAAGTTCCGAATACTAATTCCCCCGGAACGTACCGACCTCCCCCACGAACTCGAGAAGTTGTAGTCAAAGGTCAAGTTATTAAACTGAAGTATTGTTTTACGTGTAAAATATTTCGACCACCGAGAGCCTCACATTGTAGTTTATGTGATAATTGTGTGGAACGTTTTGATCACCATTGTCCCTGGGTCGGAAATTGTGTCGGAAAGCGAAATTATCGCTATTTCTATTTATTTATTCTCTCGTTGTCTGTATTGTGTATTTATATCTTTGCCTGTGTTTTAACTCATTTAATTCTGAGAGCCCAACAAGACAATTTTCTGAATGCTTTGAAGAGTTCCCCTGCTAGTATCGTGGAAGCCGTGATATGCTTTTTCTCCGTCTGGTCTATTATTGGTCTAGCTGGATTCCACACGTACCTGGCCACTTCCGAACAAACAACCAATGAAGATATAAAAGGTTCGTTCACGTCAAAGCGTGGTCAAGATAATTTCAACCCTTACAGTAAAGGTTCCATCATCAAGAATTGTATGACGGTACTCTGTGGCCCGACTGTTCCAAGCTTACTGGACAGAAGAGGCTACGTCGTTCCAGTACCTGAATGTTCATTGGTGGTTTCTGTTACCGAGCAACCAGAGAAAGAGAATAACTCAGTCAATATTCGACATGAGTATTATGGGTCGACCAACGTGACCAGTCAGAAGTCTGATATGGGGATGAGTACAGACGGAGGGAGCAATATTACCAAACGGGAGATGATTATTTATCAAAATGCAGACGGAACTGTCAACAGTAAGGTGCCGTCAGGACCAGAAACAGATTTAAATGGCGGTAAAAAGACAACATCGAGAGGTTGCAGCACGGAATACTAAAAGACAGTGAAAATCCAGAGGTTCTCATGAAGAGGAGAAAATGTTGTTGGACAAACATTTAAAATTATCAAAGATTTGAATGACATTTACAAGTGAGGAGCACATATATAACACAAGACAATAATTATAATTATTATTAATACATAATGTATTAAAGAAGTGTGTTTTATCCCATAATTATTGTCTTGTGTTATATAAAATGATCAAAAAGAACTGATATAATCCTCATTTGTTTATTTTCTGATGGATAAAGATATGTGATGGATTTGTGAGGAGGATTTTTAAATGAAAATCAAATATACCGATTGTTTTTAAATATGAACAGCTTATTCCAGTGTGTTTGGTGACATGAAAGATTTTGACAGACGCAGCGTAGTTTTTAGATTGATATATACTGAAAGAGTCAGAGATAAATTGATAACCAAGGTCAATGTGTCTTTTTCAATAGATGTTGTTTATCGTGTATTAACTTCCAATTTTAATATATTGACGTAAAAAGTAAAAACGTGAGCTTTCTAAATATTGTACAAGTAGTACAGTAGTATAGTACAGTATGTATTCATATTTTATGACCTGAGAAGACGTCAAATTGGCCAAAATGCTCTTACATTCTAAGATTTCTTTGAAATAATTTTCAAGGCTCTTGAAGGAAAAATATATAAAGGTTAAAATCAGAATAATAAACATTTTTTCACACACAAATAAAAATAATCATTAGAATTTTGAAATAGGCATTCAGATAACTTATTTCGATATATTCTTAAAAATTTATCTTATTTTCTTAAATATCAGGAATCATATTTAAATAAAGGACCTGAAATTAAATATATAACCATACATTACCCATCTTCACAATGTCAAGTTATTACTACTTTTGTCTAATACCTTGACAATAATAACCATCTGTCTTGTATCACATCTTCACAACGTCAAGTTGTCAAACTATTGACATTGTGAAGATGAAGTTGGTAATAGCTTGACATTGTGAAAACGAAGTTTGTAATAGCTTGACATTGTGAAGATGAAGTTGGTAATAGCTTGACATTGTGAAGATGAAGTTGGTAATAGCTTGACATTGTGAAGATGAAGTTTGTAATAGCTTGACATTGTGAAGATGAAGTTTGTAATAGCTTGACATTGTGAAGGTGAAGCTTGTAATAGCTTGACATTGTGAAAACGAAGTTTGTAATAGCTTGACATTGTGAAGATGAAGTTTGTAATAGCTTGACATTGTGAAAACGAAGTTTGTAATAGCTTGACATTGTGAAAACGAAGTTTGTAATAGCTTGACATTGTGAAGATGAAGTTGGTAATAGCTTGACATTGTGAAGATGAAGTTTGTAATAGCTTGACATTGTGAAGATGAAGTTGGTAATAGCTTGACATTGTAGAGATGAAGTTTGTAATAGCTTGACATTGTGAAGATGAAGTCTGTAATAGCTTGACATTGTGAAGATGAAGTCTGTAATAGCTTGACATTGTGAAGATGAAGTATGTAATAGCTTGAAATTGTGAAGATGAAGTTTGTAATAGCTTGACATTATGAAGATGAAGTTTGTAATATCTTGACATTGTGAAGATTTGAATTGCTGTATATAATCATAATGATAAATGGTGTAATTATTAATATACATGTACGCTGAAGTATCCAAGTATTTGTTAGTTTGTGCTAAAAATATATTAGAATATGCTAGATCATCTAGTTGCAATCATCAATGATCAGAATTGACTGAAGACAGGCTTATTCAAATACATCTCTGTTGTGATCGGTTGCCTTGAAACTTGAATGTTACAGAGAAAAAGGAAATGATCAGATTGTTTTATGATAAGTTATATTGATTGTATCTAAACCACTAGGGCTGGGTACAATAATCCAAATGATCAATTATACACTGTAGCCGTTAACAAGTAGTAATCTCTTCTACATAGTTTCCCTTCAGTACAAACATACCCACAATAAACTATAATAACTGATCAAAACAAGAATATACTTCTATGATACAAAAATAACCCACGAAATTTAAAATATTTGCATTTTTTGATTGAGTATTGACAGGGTTTCTCAATTGAATTATTTCGATTATTAATGGATTTTTGATGGGTAGTCTGCCATTGATAATGTATCTCAATTTTGTCATGGATACCCAGCCCTATATACCACACCCTCTGTTTGAAATTCAAAAACTTGTTATAAGATGAAATGATGAATTGATTCGTGCAGATTTATTGATTAAACTAGACTTGTATAAAGATAAAAAGTTAAAACCATGCATTACCTATTGAGGTGAATTAGTCATCCAATCATTGACTATACAAGATTTCTATTAGTAAAATAAATAATATAACCACTGTATACCAGGTTTAGGTGATTTACTATCATGTATGTTTCAGGTTCTGGTTTAATATTTCTGTATCTTCTATGATGTTTATTCATTGTTGTCAGCCACAATTTCAGCTATCTATAATATATGTATAGTTAATTCAAACTTCATACAGTTGTCGAATATTTGGTTTTTACAGCTGAAAGAGCTCAATTTTCAGAATGAGAATTTAAGCTCTTATCAAATGAAATGACTATTTGGCCTTTAAAGTATTTTCTATGATGTTACTATCTATTGATGTAGTTGGAAGCCATGATTGGAACACAGATATAGTTTTACCAGCTGATAGAGCTCAATTTTGCATCCATGAAATATTCATAATAAAATTAAGCTCTATCAGCTGTAGAACTATTCAGCCTTTTACTCCAGTTTGTACTATGATATTACTATATTGATGTAGTTGTAAATCACTATTGAAATTTGGATATAATTTGCTAAATATTTGGTTTACCAGCAGATAGAGCTTAATTGAGCTCTGTAAGCTGAAATGACTATTTGGCCTTTAAAGTATTTTCTATGATGTTACTATCTATTGATGTAGTTGGAAGCCATGATTGGAATATGGATATAGTTTTACCAGCTGATAGAGCTCAATTTTACAATTTTCACAATGTAATTGAGCTCTATCAGCGGAAATGACTATTTGGCCTTTGAAGTATTTTCTATGATGTTAATATTTATTGATGTAGTCAACTTTTATATTGTTTGTCTGTCTATGAATTGTGTCTATTGATGTGTGATTCGGACTTACATCATGTTTATCATTTTCTAACTCTGTGCGATTGGTTTTATTTTGTTTTTTTGGGTCACAAATCTTTGTATACTATCATTATCCAAATAAATCTTTTTTTCTTATTTCTTATTTTTCCGTCTTCATTAGCCCACATCGTGCAGAAAAGTAGGACGTAAAACTCCATTCAATATGCCATTCCTCTCCCCAACAGTCAGGCCCATATCTACCCCAGGGTCTCAGGGGTGGAGCCATAGGTTGTTAAGATGGTGGTAGCTATGTGATGCAACAAGTCATTCAAGTCATCTCATTTTTTCAGTAGGGTGGGGGCAAAGATTTTCTTAAAGGGCATGGCCTAGCTATTGAATGCCATATTTTTATTATGTGGGTAAGGAAAATAAAGCTAGGTGACGGAAAGTGGTCTATTGATGAATTAAACAATGCATTCTTTTCAGGGACACTGATATCATTAATTTGAACCATTCCATTTTTCAACCAGATTATGTAGCTATGACAAAAACCTTTGGTAGATATTATAATTATTCCAGCCTGTAGATTTTACAATAATCAGGTTAAATATTTCTAATTACAGGAACCACAGACATCTGACTGAAAACTGGAATGGTGTAACTAAACCATTAGATACCATTCAAATTATTATTTATAATGCTTCTTTCATATCATCAGCCTTTTCTAGAATGATATAACTGGGAGAAATATTAACAGAAAACTTTTTACAGAATTATTTTAATAAAAATAACAAATTTAATAATCCCCAATTTACAAAACATAACCAAATATAATATTTAACAATGAGAAGTTTTCTAGCCATTGTATATCTATTTACACTCTTCTGATTCCGGCAAATTAAAACGAAAGTAAAATGGTTTTAAACAATAGTGACAAATCAAATTACAGAAACCTCAACATTGTATAGAAATATTCTTATATTTAAAATAAGACTAAACTGTCCCGTTTTTATCACTTCAGTTAGGGTCTCAAGGCGACCTCTTGAACATTCTTCATTTTGATGACACTGCCAACCAATCAAATTCTTACCTTCTCCAGCCCTTGGATTGACACAAACATAAAGTGCATTCAGTGCCTATTGCTTCTTAGAAAACCTTAGGTTCGCTACACAAAATCCCACTCTTGGAGAGAGAAGAAATTTGATTGGACAGTGGTTTCATCAAACTGATCAATGTTCAAGCGGCCTGTCGTTAGACCCTAACTGAAGTGGACATATTAAAAATAAAAGTTTATACAAAAACGAAATGAAAGTTTGATTTATTTTAATCAGACTGGTTTCTTTAAACAAATACAAGTTGTAGAAAATGTCTATTGATATTACAGAAATACTGAGATATATGAAAATATAATTCAAAAAATAAATTGCTAGTACAGATGATACCTTCGATTATATTGTACCAAAAATAAAATTAAAACTGAGCACCATTAATGATTGGTTTAGCCAAAAGAATTCCAGTATGACTAAGGTACCATTAATCAAAAAAATGGGGCCTCTGTCTCTTTAAGTCCACTGAGTCCAGATCTAAATATTAAAACTTTACATCAAGAGGTTAGTCCAAGAACCAGCTGGTAGTTGTTAT